ACTGCTGTCGTAAGTCAGTGCGGTCACATGATGTCATGCTTTATGACCGTGACACTTAGTGAAGGAATTCCCAGGCCCAATTACCATAGTTAACCAAGGGCTATCTGTAATTTTTTTCTTTGACTTTATTATTGTCCTCTTTCAGAAGTCAGCAGCCGATGCAGACAACATCCACCAATCAAGGCATTATAGGAATAATAGAATGGGTCTTTCTTCAGAAGTTTGCCCATGGTGTCTATGTGAATTGATCGTCCCTACTCTGGCTCCCCAGTCTTTCAAGTTTAAAATAATGTGAAATAAAGAAATATATGGGAATATACCAGGCAGAAACAATCCCCAATCTGAGGACAGCAGATTCTGCTTCTATTTGTACAACTGTAGAGTCCTGTAGAGTGAGCAAACTGGAACTCACCAGCTACTGGACAACCACTCTTTTACTTCATCAGGAGAAGGGTAAGTGACTAAAATTGACCAATTTAGCAGAAGTGGTAATCTTCTCTGCTTCTCCAAATGAAACACTGGATTCTGCTCTCTCCTCCTTTGACTTTTCCCTGGAGGGAATGTGTGTGTGAAAAAAAGGGGTAGGGGTTCTAAAAGGGCTAATGGAGAGGGCAATGGCTGGCAGAAAGAAGACTATGAAATAGGTTGGCCTCCAAGAGGGGAGGGCACAGCCTGCATCTCTCAACAGTTCTGAAAAACATTAATAGTCACCTGAGTTTGCCTGCAAGGTAATGGGTGGTAAAGTGTAATAGGTTTTGCAAACCCTGAGGCTGTCCCTGGCTAGTTTAGGAATAAAATGGGAAATATATCTTTCATGTTAGTACTGGAATAACAGCTTAACTCTGTCTTGCTCATGAGCTGGAAACAAGACAAGGGTAATCTCATGCGAATAAGGGGGGAAGTTGCTGCTGTCAAGGCACGATACACTATGGTGAATGGTGAGTGGGACAGGGCTAAATCAGAGCTTTTTGACTTATTTCTTTTTCTCTCTTTATGCAGATAAAATGTTTTGAAAAATTCTGTCAGCAATATAATTCTTTCTTTTCAGGAAGATATTATCCATATTTCATGTACTTCCAAAAACCAAATGATGAATAAAGCATGTTCTATATGGCTTTAACATGGAACCACAAGGGCAGAAAGTAATATCTGAGAGAGAAAAATAGTGCAAAGAACTACTGGAACTAATCTTTTTCAAACTATTTTTCTTTACATTTTCTATCAATACAGAGAGCTGTTTTTGTCCTCAAGAAGACTGCTGTGCCCAGTATAGTCAGCCATGAATGTGAGGCACTTCAGTATTTCAGACCTGAGTCTTTTCCAGCCCAACCAGAGATGTCAATAACTAACACCACTGCTTACTCAGCCAGTCTCCTGCCCATGCCTAATGATGATAATGCCTAGCTTAACCTCTGTGATGTTGGGGGGAAAAACACCCAGTTCAATGCTGCCAAGTCATAGAGGCATAGCCATCCTCCTCCTCTTAACAGATTTATGATGCCTACAAATAATTCTATTAGGGCTATGCAATGTTTTGGATTTAATTCCTAACAGCTGCTTCAGAGCAAATAGAAATGCCACTGTAGCACCTGTCTGTAACTTTTTAAGGCAGCATCTTTTCCCAGGATCACACAACTACTCTCTAAACAGCCTTCATTTCTATATAATTACAAAAGCAATCTGAATTACATCTTGGGACTTTGGAGGAAAACTCTGCTGATCCATATTAAAAAAAACAGTGGCAGCAGCAGCAACAATTGATCCAGAGATACTTACATTCAAGTTGCATTCACAGTCAGATTAAAATTATAAGAAGAATCCACATACTGCATCACCATTATGCCTATTTTAACATGTGTAACATTTTGCAGATGAAAAGCACAATATGTATCCATTCTTTCATTCTACCCAAAAATTCTTTGTAAGTCATGCACGCTGGGCTTCTTCACCTTTTGTCTTCAGTGTTATGATACTTGAGACTCTACTGTTCAATCTTTATGCATCTGGAAAAGCAATTTCAACAGAGACTTGTCTTCCTGAGTTGCATCGTATCTTTGCTGGGAGAATCATTACTGAATAAGTCATGAAGAGTCCAATGTATTATGTTGGATATTCACCCCTTCTACTTTTGTGCAATTTTTACTAATTTTTGCTACCTTCCTGCACTAATTTAAATGTAGATAGTTCTACCTTCTTTTACAGGAAACGTGCAACATATCCAACCACAAAATACAGAAGTAGCTAAATTCTGTAAAGAATGTAATCTGTCTGAGTGAGACTTTATGGTAGGTACAAACTTTTCAAACAGTTTTCAATTTTCATCTTAACTAACAATGCACTGGAAGTAAGTGGGAAAGATGAACATCCATTTTAAAAAATTCATAAACATTCGGAGGTGAGCCCCATAGACAACTTACAGAAAAATAGTGTCTGTAATGTAGTATAAGTGAAAAGGAGGCATAAGAATATATAGATATCATTTCAAAGTATTAAATTGGCTATACATTTGGAAAATTCATGTCTCAATAGAACTATTATTGTTTAAAGCTGCTATTACTCTTTGAAATGTTACTCTGTGTTCATGAGTGCATTCAAACTATTGCTTCATCAAAGTATTTCAAAACAGCTCTACCAAGCAGAGAAATTAAGCTGCAAACTGGGAGGAAGAAAGGAGAGAAAATTGATTACTGTAGGCATGAACTGGCAACATTGAGAAGTATTGCATTGGAAATGTGGATTAGCTATTCATTATATAATGAATATATCATACATGCAGGTCATTAAATGGTAAACATGTGCTTGAGAGAGCTCATATTCAATAAATCTGGTTCACATGACAAAGTAAGCAATATTTAGCTAGATGAAACATGTTGTCCATGCTGAGATCTTGGAGGAAATTGTGGTTAAGGCAGAGAGCTTTAGCTATAATCTATACCCATGATCTTCACTTATCTAACCGGTGTTATCCAGCCAGTGTTAATTTAACACTAAAGCAGCTATTCTTCCAGAAAATAGTATATGTTGCAGGAGTAATCAACTTTTTCCTCTCAGTTCTGGGCTACCTTTCACTATTTTACAGTTGTTTTTAAAGGAGCTAAGGAAGAATATACACACACAGGTCTTCTGTGAACCATTATTATAATCAAAATGGAGGTTAGTAAAACACAATGCAGAGATAACATAACACTGTATAGCTGCGGCCTTCAAACAGATGTGCCAAGAGTAATATGAAATACTCCATTAGGATCCTTTCTACACTGAAAGGTGACTTCATATGGGAGACCTAAGAGGGTATTTCCAGATATTTTTGTCTTTGTTGACAGCAACAGGAGTGGACTTTTAAACTGACTGTAGTGGTGGGGGACAGAAGGATTTAATTCTTTATTTGTGCTATTTAATCAATTTAAATACAGCAAACCTGTTATCCTCACAGCAGGAGAGCATATACATGGACTCACACTCTATATGGCTTCTCTTTTACTGTCACAAAAAGCAGGTTCAGAATGGGTATCATCAAATAAATACTGCAGGATTAATGGTTATTCCCTTGACCCAACACCCTCCTAGCCCTGATTCCAATCCTCCCCTTAACTGTCTTTAAGCACAGTCCCAGTTACAGATCGCCTATGTAATGTCTCTTCTGGGCTGCAAAATCTAGATCACCACTAGATAGCAACAAAGATAGACAGAAAACCCTGAACTCTGGAAGTCCTACTTAGAATGTAGCCATTTTAAGATAGGGAGTATACATTATATATCATTCAAATATCACATAGTTTATAACTACTGCTGAAGTGCTGTATTGTTTTAGAGACTTAGGAAAAATACAATTCCCAAATATAATCTGCAAGAAATCAACCAAAATGGAAATGGTAATGAAACACTAGTTTTAGCACTTGGGTGGGATTCATTCATGCAAATACATCATTGGACAATATTCAAAGTTGAATATTTTCAACCATCTTAGAAGTAGCACAAAACAGCTGAAAAACTTTGCATCTGATGTCTGATCTGTACCAGCAGTTTCAAATACTATATACTAAGTTCTTATACCATACTGCAGCTGTAAACAATAAACTTCCCCATATGAAACCACCTTTAGGTTTCCTTTATTACAAGACTCCTTGTATTTAACTAAGGGAAGCACAATTTGAAACTGCTTCTTTCCACTAACTAGGGCACTCTAATGACACAGCATAACCAGCCTCACTGAAGACGGTGTACATTTTCCAATCCTCCCAGAAAAACTGTAGTATGATATGAGTTGTGGCTCTCACCCTAATTCAAACCAGCTGCTAACAACATTCAGCAGCAGTTGTGTTCCTTCTTAGAAGAGTCCAGTCTCTTAACATTCAGCAAAGAGCCCTATAGCTGGGTGTTCTAAAGTTACATATTGCAAATAAGGTGATTGGTCCAAATAAAAGTGAAGCAATGGGTCTTTTTAGCTAAGACAGTCCTTGCATTTTCTCTCTCCACCTAGGAGGCCTCCTTGCTCAGTTACTTTCCAAACTCTTTTAAAATGAAGGTATCAACATTTAAAGGAATAACCCCAACAATTTTCATCACAAGACATATTGGTCAAGATAACCTTACATTTCAGACAGAACTTTGGTACTCTTACAACTACATGTAGATTCCTAAGCAAGAGATGGAATACACAGAGAGACACACACTGTCACAATACCCTGGTTCTTCTCCTGATCTTTAGTCTATGGCTGGTTCTAACTTTGCAGCAACGTGCAAAGGACTACAATCAAGCCCGCAGTTGGCCTCCGCATCCAGAGGCAGAAATCTTCCCATTCCCAAACTCTAAAATGCCAGAGGCTGATTTCAAAAACAATCTGGCAAATGCAAACACTGCCGAGGAATAACACCCAATCCCCACAGTGTAATGGTTTGCAAACTATTTGCAACCAAATGAACAAGAAGTAATATTATCTTTAACCCACAACCAACTCCCAGCATGCAGCAAGAGGAGTGTTAGCTGCCAAAATACTTACGAGATGTATGCAGGATAAGCAAATCCGATCAGGTTGCACAGCAGGGATGCTCCATAGCCAACAACCAGGTAAATAGCCAGCACAACAATAATGGCTGAAAGAAAAAGCAGAAAGTCAGTCCGTCAACCAAAAGAGAGACCTACTAGAATGGACTGGAAACATAAAAGGGGCCTTGTTACATAAAGGAGCATGCTTTCTTAAGGGCAGAGGCAGACAGGAAATGGAAAATCTTTCGATAGGGACCAACTTTAAGCTTACTCACTCTTTCCAAAAGTTACATTCAGGATGAAGTCGGTTTGCCATTTGCCAACAACTCCCAGGTATATGACATGGGGGGGGGGGAACAGGAATGTAAGAAGGAGCTAACCTGTAATACTGAAGGGATACATGCCAGATGAGAGAGGAAAACCAAGACTTCAGTTCATCCCAGACACGTCAGCGAGTCAATTACTATCCAGGGGAGTAACTAACTTTACTCCTCCTCTTCCTCCCCATCATTTGTCTACAGATAAGATTCCCCTAAAACTATTGAGGTGAGTTCTGTTCCCTTTGTGAATAGCTGATCACATGCACACTTCAAAGCTCTTTTTTTCCCACAAGAACTGTCAGGAGTTGCCCTGAGGACTGGTAAGGAAAAGCAGAGAGGAAGCTGGAAAAAAATCTGGTCTGCTGTCCCCGGAGCCCTGCCAACCAGGCTGACGTTTCATCATTTAATATCCCAGGGGCTTCAGGTCCCGCATTTCTTCCAACTACCCTCAGAAGATGCCCTGCAAGATCATCCATAAATATGCAAGAAAGAGACAGGTGCAGAGGAGGTCCAGAAGCTCCAAATATACCACCCTCTCGGAGTATGTGTCTGAGTGGGGAGAGCAGTCATATTCTCACTATCCCCTAAGGGTGCACTGCAAGAACAAAACAAGCTGAGATGGAAGGCTGTGTGCTAAGAGAAGGCTGGCAGCCTTCCTGACTGGAAAGATCGCGTGAATTATTGCAGCATCTTGCAGACCTATATTGTCACTGGGGCTGTGGCCTGGAGAAGGGAGACAAGGCTTTAGAGCCCAGCTAAGGCCACATTTGCTAGCATGTCCACCCCAAGGCAAGGTTTGGCTTCCGCTTCGTCTCCCCTGAAGCCTTCCCTCCTCCCCGCGTTAGAGAACATCGAAGCTTCGGCGGGCCTGCAAGAAATCCAGGCAAAGGCTGGGGCGCAACGACTCCGCTCGAGGGTGAGGCGGGACGCTCACCGATGGCGACGTAGGATCTGCTCACGCCGGTCTTGCTCTCAATTTTCTCCAGCACATCGGTCAGGCAGTTCTTCTGGCGCAGGAACCTGTCGAACCTCTCCCTCATGGACGCGGTCATGCCGAGACCTTCCCCGCGGCTGTCTCTTTGCCTTCAGCTACTCTCAGTCCAAGCGCTGATCCGCTGGAGCAGGAACCCGCAGCGGGGCTGACGTTTCGTCTTTCTCGCAACTAATGCCAGCCCTTGTCCTCTAGGTGGAAGAGGAGGGAGAGAAAGAGAGAAGGGACGTCAGAGGCCGCATCATGGGATGTGTGCGCTCCGCGTCAGCACCGACCCGGCCAGCCTACCCACCACGCGTCCTCCCTCCTGCCTCGGGTCTGCAATCGCGCCACGCCCAAGACCGCCGGCAGAAAATGCCCTTGCGCGTGGAGAGGGGAATCGCGGGGAATAGGACCAACGGGGTGCAGGCCGTGAGGGACCTTTGCCTCTCCTTGGAGACGTCCTCTGAAGTGCTTGCAGGCTTTAGCCTCGTCCACACACCCTTGTAGCTCCGGTGTGAGACGGAGGCTCCTCACAGCACGGAGCCTGGAGCAAAGGGATCCGCAGGCAGGAAATTGCGTTTTCCGATGGAAAATGCAGTCTTAGGTGATGAACGCTCTTAGATGGTAGATATTCTGATTCACACTGTTGGGTGTGGAGAAAAGTCCCATCTCCCCTGTATGACATCCATGCAAGAAGGGACCAAGAAGCATAACATCACAGCAGGAATCTTATTTTCAACACAGGCTGTCTTTATTTGGACGTTCGATGGTAGTGTGGGTGCTATTCTCCCACCTTTAATTCCACAGTATTACCAGAGTCAGTAGGTCTGATTTTGTCTTGGGGGATTCAAGGTGCAAAATGCACATAATTATCTTGTCCAGAAGATGCTCAAGGGGAACTACAGTCAAACCAAGGATACATGTGACCTTTTGAAGTGTCATATTCTGGCTTATATGCATGGTACAAATATTGGAATTGGGCTCTGGTGCTGAGTTTTATTGGTCTGAATAGAGACTGGAGCACACTGAACAAGGATAGCATAGTAAATTATGGAACAAAGCTGGGCCCTGACAGGAGCACCTTCTACTTTGGTAGTACAGTAGCTGCTTCCTAAGAAAGCATCTCAGCATTTGCACAAAACGGTTTTGAAACCATGAGAACCTTTCCTGGCTTGTTGTAGCTGCCTCCACCTTTCTTCCAGGGAGATACAGTTACCTGGTGTCCTGCCCTCTACCCCTACAGTGAGAGATACGACCCCAAAATCTTCGTGACTTACTGACAATAAAGGGAAACAGAGGATAAAAATGAAATAAATTCTGTAGAGCCCACCTGTTAGCTTTTATAGCTTTCAGGATTGTTGACATTAGGCCTTACCTTCGTTAATTAGATCAAGATAATAACTTATAATTTAAAAATAAACTTTATTAGTACAAGGGGGAAAAGTGAATGTAAAAATTCATTTTTATGGTTGATAAAATAAAAATACAGTGCTACTAAAATAACAAACAGTACTTTAAAAAGAATCACCTGCGAAAAGCTATAAAGGAGATATATAAGCTTGAGATACATTGCAAGGTATCATGAATTTGCTGCTTAGAGATCCTGAGATGTATCAAACATAGATGTTTAGCAAGCAGTAGAAGCATAATAATTTCTATATTTTATTTGTGGCTAGGCTTAAAAAGGAAATTGGTCAGGGCAGTTAGAGCTACCTGAAGCTATGGTTCAACATTTAGCAGATACAATGGGGCAAAAAAGTATTTAGTCAGCCACCAATTGTGCAAGTTCTCCCACTTAA